CCGCTTGCTGGAAAGTCGCTCGGTCTCCCTTAGGCTCAACGGCTCCCGATGTCACTTCTCTGTTCCGGGTGACCGGTTCTTCCTTCACATACTTTACTTCAGTCACTCCCCGAAGGGCTGCACGAAGTTTGTCTGTTTCGGAATCCATGCCCATCATGTCTCGTCTCCCCCCTGCGTGTCCCTTGATTGCGTTACCCGATTGTGGGTGCAATGTTGCGCGACCAGAATTTTGGGTTGCTGGGTCAGGTAAAGGCGACCCTTCAGCTCCTTGAACCTGGGACGATGTCGCAGGAAGGTTGCGCGAACGAGTCTCCGGAGCCTTCCGGAGAATCCGGATGGTAGGTTGATCCCGATTGCGTGCGTCTTCCAGGTCACAAATCTTCTGCTGGAAGGACGCTAACTTGACATTCAGGGTACGCTCGATGTCGGTTGTCCAAGCCTTCTTCTCTTCTTCGACCTCGGCTTGCCGCTGTTCACAGCGACGCTCAAGCTCGGCGAGTGCGGCTTCCTCGGCCTGGCGCATGAGCACTTCCGGCGATGGAACGGCAGGCGACGACGACACCTCGGAGGGCGCACCTAGCGGTGCGCTTCTCGACCCTTTGCGGGACGACACAGTGAACTCCGGTTTCGGACTCTTCTGGGCCTCCCCGCTCCGGGCGAGGCGCTCCTCCTGGGCGATAGCCCGTTGAGCCAGCGACTGGATTGCTGTGAAGGCGCGCTCAACGTTCAGAGTCATCTGGTCTTGACGGAGCTTCATTCGGGTCAGCATATCCTGTGTCAGCTTCAGCGCACCGTTGGCATCCCGGGCGTCACCTTCCTTCGGCGGCGGAGCGATACGCCTAACGCGGCCTAGTGGCTCGCTCTTCGGAATGCTGCGCTTGGGTTCTTCAGGGTCGTCCTCTTTCTTCGAGTTCCAGCGAGCATCATCGTCGTCATTCGGACTAGACTTCCCCGACGGATCATCTGGGCTCGGCGCTCGGGCCGTTCGTCGCTTCCTGAACGTCTTCGACCGGCGTGCACTCCGGATGCGAGCGCCCCTTGACTCTGCCATCTCGACATCGTCCTGGTCAACTTGCACCCGTGGCGCTGGGATAAACGTCTGCGTCACTTG